GCCTGTCGTTCTATCTTCAGCTGCAACATATAGTAACAACCCGTTTTAGGAAATAATTTTACGGATAATCATCCTTTTTTATTCCAAATTTCAAATTTTGAGAGTAATACAAGTAAAGAAATTCAATTTTACCTGATCTTTCTCTAAAAGTGCTTGCCAATCTCTACTCTTCAGTAGCTCATATGTTTCATCACAAACAGATGCAAGTCGATAGTTCAAGTCTCCTAGCCAAATTACCTTGCTGGAGTAATATTGAAGACAAGTTAATCAACATATTATAACTTTTTCCATTTCGAATGTGGACTAAGTATAAAAATCGCTTACTCATGATCCAAAATGTTTTCTGGTAGAATTGGTTTTCCTGGTATTCGACATGGATGAGAAAATCTTGTCCTCTTTAAAATTTCTGTTACATCTAAATTTCTTCTAATTTCGTCGCCCTTTTTCTCTCCAGAGGTCAAGTGAGTGCATACAAAGCAAATTGTTGTTTGATGCAATGTCATGCTGATAGATATCGATCCCTAAAATCACATAGAAGGTAAGCAATCAAATAAAAACTCTCAAATACATCGAAATATTCCATCCATCTATCTAAAACGTTATATAACTAGCTATACCTTATTTCCGAGGTATCCCATAATGCCTCTTCCAACGCAAGAAACCTTGATGGAGCTAATATGTTGACATAATTCCTCACGAACCCATACACATAAAAAGATCCCAACCATCTGTTTACTGGAAACTAGTTTATATCGATGTTGTACGGTACTGGTATGTGTAGCTAGTTCACTTGTTGGACTAAGTGAACCTTCTTCACTAGAATAGGAACTTGATCTAGAACTTACAAATCTTTCAAAACACTTGCGATCAAGCTCATCTTCTAATGACAACAAATTCAAAGAGCTGACCCTTGGATTTGGAGTCATTTGATGTCTATCATTTGGGCTAGGAGACTGTTTCAACATAGGACTGACGATGTTACTATGACTAGAATTGTTCGACTTGCCATTTAGAGCTTGTCGGATCAAGGAAAGCCACTTTGCTGCTGGAGCATAATCCTCAGGGCCGAGTACGTTCCCAGCATTCAAAG